CAACAAGTGCACCACTTCCAGGTGACCATTCTGAGCCGCATGATGCAAAGCAATTGCACCCTGGGAAGTGGCTTGATTGCAAGAGGCCCCAGCCCGCAGCAACAATCGTACCAGTTCAAGGTGGCCATGTTCAGCTGCTATGTGCAAAAGTGTGCAACCCTGTGCATCTGCAGTGTTGGAAGAGGCCCCAGCCTCCAGCAACAAGCGTACCACTTCCAAGTGGCCGTGGGAAGCAGCACCGTGCAAAAGAAATGATGTGGCTCTATCATAAGAGGCTCCAGCCTCCAGCAATATGCGCACCACTTCCACGTGGCCATTGTGCGCTGCCTCATACAAGGCTGTAAAGCTCTCTACTACTACATGTTTAGTGTTCGGGTCCTGTGGCTGATGCAATCTCTTTTCAACTTCTTGAAGGTCCCCTTCCTCACATGCGTCAAGGAATTCCTCATCTCGAACTCGGTCTGGTGGTAGGAAGGCCAACTTGACCATCTTTAGCACCAGTGGTGGGACTATCACCGCATCATCACCAACCTCCAAATGTTCTTCCGCATGCAAGAGCCGCAGTCGAAACCTTGATCCAAATCCTCGAAACATAAGTTCCAGTTTCAGTGCTTTGATGGTGTTGCCCCGTTCTTCCACCAGAGCTTGGAACTCCTCGTCGCTGAAGACAAATACATCTTCACCGGATGCTGCCCAAAGCACGTGCAGCGCCATCTACGCAATCTCTCCGCAAATGGATATGCGTGTGACGGCGTGTGACAACTTCCAAATTGCTGGAGACCTGGAATGCGTCTCCTTCACCTCTCATGACGTCACGGAAGCTATCCTGACCTTGTCTTCGTGACTTTGTCGTGTATGTTTTTTTGTCGTCCAATGACAAATGACACTTGGATACAAGTACCTGGATACTTAGAGTTTTGAATGCCCTGAGCCAAGCAGCACAAGCAAGAAGCTGAGGGCAATCCCACAGAATTTGATCAGTCACCAAGTGCTCTCATACCAGGACCCGAACTCAGAGGGTGTCTATATTCGCAGCCTCTGGCAGAAAAAAAACGACCATGTCATGCCTTAGTCCCCCGATTTCGCCCAGACGCGACCCCTGAAAACAGGTCTTTGGTCCCGAACCAAAGCCCGGACCCCTCCGGACCCTCGGATTCGGCGGCCTCGGTCCCCGCGTCGGGCTGTTTCGGGTCGCGAAACGGTGTCCGTTCGAAGCAGCAGACGGGTCGGAGAATCTCTCAGACGGTGTCTATGCAAGAAGCTACTAGTAGCAAGGCACCGGCACGACTAATAGTTTGGCACGGAACTACTAATAGTACCAAGAAGGCACAGAACTACTAATTAGTAACATAAGAAACTATACTAAACCCTTCCGCGGCCCGAACGAGGATGAACGATCAGCTCCGGATCGACGAGCAGTCGGTTCCGCGGTTCCGCTCGAACGTCGAATCGAAGGATCGACCGCTTGTTTTTCGGCGCAGGCGCTCGGTCCGTGTCGCGGGGGGGGTTTTGATGAACCTGAAGGAACCTATTCAAGGACTCCATCAAAGACCCGGCTCTTCTTGGTGTTCCTCCAGAGCCATCCACACCCGCAATGAAAGAGTGGACCTGTAGAACCGCCCTAGTGCGCGCCTTTAGAACCGCCCTAGAACCAGGGCCCTCAAGCAGCGAAGCCGGGACGGCAGGGCGACCCCCCTGGGCATCACCAGAAAAATGTAAAGAACATTGATTGAGTGAAGTGTCTAAACTAATATCATAGCAGTATAACAAATACAATTGTATTCAAAAACAACATAACAGTCCAAAAAGTCAGTTTAAATATTGTTGATTGCTTCATTTTTCTTAACAATATCAAAACATAATTACCTCATTCAATTTTGTTTAAAATCATAGCAGTCGAAGCATACTTACCTCATTCAATTTTTCAAAATCATAGCAGTCAAAGCATACTTACCTCATTCATTTTTCCAAAATCATAGCAGTCAAAACACAATTACCTCATTCATTTTTCAAAATCATAGCAGTCAAAAGCATTATTACCTTATTCATTTTACAAAATCCTATCCATCAACCGTTCCTAAATTCCTTCTATGCTTCTCTGTTTTTTAAATGTCTTCAATAGCATTGCGCCTTCATTGATGAATTACATACATTACAAAAGGCAACTTTATCACGATAGTTTTGTATTTGTTCCTGTTGATTTTTTCTATATTCTTCATGTTCCTTATATTTAGTTCTTCGTGTTTCATTCACTTTATCTTTATGTTTGTCATAGTTCTTTCTCTTGTATTCCAAGCATGTCTTACAAGTCTTCAATCCATCTTCAAAACTATCAATTGGTAAATCTTTAACACACTATCTACAAAATTTATCCAATACATATAGATATGATTATCTTCTTAAATGTATTTTCCAAGAATTCCTACAACAACCCAAAAAGAAAACAAACCAAGCACAGAACAATATATAAGACAAAACGGCAGACAGCAATAAAGATAAACCTTTAACCTTTAATAATCCGATCTTACAAATCCATAATTCTAATAGATTAATACTATTAGAAATATGTTCGTAGTAAATATATTCAACAATTATTGATCTAAAATGAAATGCTTGTATTCCTATTATACTATCTTTATCTTTGTATTCTTCTATGTTGGTACTTTTTTCATCATCTGCTTTATTCAATACATCGTCTATATTATCTTCATCTACATATTCATCAAAGTCATTCATGAAGTAAACTTCTCTATAACTAAATGCATTGTCTCCATATTCTTTATCTGGGAGTTTTGCTACTATTTGGATTTCAATATCAAGTTTAACTCTAAAACTTAAAGTATCTTCTTCTACTTCTTCATAAATCAAATATAGTAATTATTACTTGTCTTCTGTTATGATGTTTCCTATACTTTTCAAACTAAATGGCACTCCCTGCACTCCCTCTCTCATAATACATTACTAAATTATATACATTGTGTTTCTTTGTCTTAGCTTTCTGTCTATTTTCGGACCAAGTCTTGATATTTAATATTTGTTTTGTATTCTCTTCTAAGCTTCACTATGTTTTATTTTCACATATTCAGAGGTAAATCCTTCATACAATCCATCCTACTAATATACTTAAATAACTATTCGGACTATTCGTTAAATATATATTCAAAGAATAAAACAATAGAGTTCTTTAAAATCTACGTAAAGATAGATTAAAAAAATATATACTATTATATGATGAAAAAGATTATAGACTATCTATTGAATACTAAGAAAGCAGAATTACCCAAAAAGGGAAGAAAAGAATTAAAGTCAATAATAATGGATGATAAGAAATTGAGAGACAACAAAGACAAACCCATGTCAAATGTTTTAACAAAGAAATTGTTGTCAGTAAAGAAAACTAATGAATACAGAAGTTATGCTATGAAAAAGGCAACGAATGTTGTAAATAGAAAGGGTTAGGCAATTAATAACCAAACACGCCATAAGAAAAATATTTAGGGTCAGAGATATTCAATCAGCATTTAGAAGATACGCTAATTCAATAGTTCTAGAACACAAACACGTTCAAGGAGAAAGGGGATTAGAACGGAAGCAGATTTGCTAAGAAATAATAGAAGCATGAAACTTAACATAAGAACGGAAGGATTATTTGAAAAACCTGAATATGATGATGGAGGAAATGAATTAGGAAGTCAGGAACTTGTATATCCCCTACCATCAACCCGCTTCAATATTAGTAATGAGGATGAACTGGCACTAGCTTTAGAAGATAGTGCTATTCAAATCCGATTACGAATACAAAATTTAGAAGGTTCAACATCTAATTTAAGATTTAAAAGGATTGTATCAATAACTATTCACTATGACAAATATGTATGACCCAACAAGAGCAGG